ATCAGCCCCTCAAATCTCTAAAACCAGATTAATTACCCCCTAAAGTGCTTTTGGACTTGATTTTGAGTGGTTTTGACCCAGACCGTGCACTTCTCTCGGCTATGACCGTGCACTTCACATCTTCAGTGCGCCCAGCTCGCCTCCATGGCCGGCATGCTCGCCGTTTGCCATCTTCATGGTCTCAGACCAGGCTGCCGCAGAAGTACTCCCAATCCATGCCTACACGGACGCCGATGCTTCCCGAGAAGCCATCTGATGCCATGCTCCTGCTCAAGTCCGACTGCCCAGTGCGGGAACCGCTCTGTGTGCCTCGCACCGCCCTGACCGGCGTCCCGCTTGGCCACCGTAGGAGACAAACTGCATCAGCACCGTCGACGCGCTCATCCGGCCGCACATGATCACGCTCTGCTGCACCAGGCCCGCATTCTCTTCCTCCCGGCGAGCGGGGACGGTGTTCGAGGCGGCAGCCACGCAGGCGTCGTTCTGGATGAGCATCTCCAGCGTGTCGCGGCTGCTGACGATGGCAACAACGTGATCTCGTCATCTTCGAGCTGCGTCGTAGGCTCTTGTGGCGGAGACGGCTCCGGGCCCTGGTGCCGACGGCGTCTTTCGCCGGTCTGCGTGGCCGCGTTCTCCCCGGCACCACTGTGCGACCGCCACATGGTACTCACCGATGTCGAAGGAGCTCCAGTTCATCCTCTTCTCGTTCCCGGCCTAGCAGCTAGAGGTGGAGGAGGACACAGATGAGTCAGTGGAGGCATCGCGCGGGGAGGAGGCGGAGCCCTGGAGCGCGTACTCGACGATGCTGACTGGCACCACCTGAAGCGAGACGAAACAAAGGAGAGCAGAGCGGGTACGCGGTCTAGGTCAAAACCACTCAAAATCAAGTCCAAAACCACTTTAGGGGGGAATTGATCCGGTTTTAGAGATTTGAGGGGCTGATTGATCCGGTATTAGAGTTGAGGGGGGAATTGATCCATCAAAGAGGATTTCAGGGGGGAAATGATACTTTCCTCAAAAGAAAAGCCATGCCTCGGGCCTAGTCCCTGGGGGCCTGGGGTGTAAATCCGCCCCTGCATCCAACCATATTAACTTGTTCATCATTCAACTAGAACACAAAACTCAGCCACTCATGCGTGCATCACCTATCCTATTACTACATGCTTCCTAAATTGGGCAAATCAGCCCCATGC